TATATGTATGCAGTCCACCATCGACCTCCCCACAAACCCTTGGCCAGTACCACCATCGCTTCTGCCTGCCTCGACGTTGCACTACAAGGAGTCGTTGAAACTCTTTGTGAGAAGGATAATCTGTTGTATCAGCAAAGCGGTGTGAGACGGTGCTGGATTGTGCAAAGCGCTGAGGTGGTGATGCTTGATCTCAAACGTAATTCATCTTCTCTTTGTGACCATGCTGCTCGCATTGTTGATTTCACAACTATGTTTACCAATCTTCCTCATGACAATATTTGTCATAATGTATCAAAAGTAGTTGAGGAAGCCTATACATATGCCTTACAACAGCATAAACAGGGGCACACACATCCGCCTACCCTTAACATGATTGTTAAAGGGCCCCATCAAGGGGAGTGGACAGTTAATACGGGACCGAACACGTTGACTGTTTCCCAAATTCTTGAACATCTCCATTTCATTGCCACAAACACGTATCTTTATGCAGCGGACGACACCTTGCGACATCAGTTGATTGGCATTCCGATGGGGACTAATTTTGGTTAAGAGAGAACTAATTTGACGGTGTATCGGGATGAGGCTCGATTTGTTGACGACCTCCAGCGGCGTGATCTTCACACAACTCATGGCCTCCAAGGGAAGGAGACCACAGCGCCTGATGGCTCTTGCACACAAGAGGTTAACGGAGCATCTGGTTTTCAGGCCTGAAATTTCTGAAATTAGGGTTTTGGGCTCAAATTTCATGTTGTTTTGGAATTTCAAGTTTTTGCTATACATGCATTTTGATAGGGTCGCCGTATATGAAATTTGGGGTTATTTGGAGTTTTAGAATTTGCGCTATTAAGATTTTTGAAAATTTTGAAATTGGTCGAGTTTTTTTTGGGCCAAATTTCATGGAAATGCACCTTTGGCTTGTTGTTTTATATGTTTTTGATTGTTTTTTTTAGGGTTTTTTTCTGTAATGGAGTCGTAAGAAGTGCACTCTATAGATTGGTGTGAAGTGTTGTTAAAATGACTGTCTGGTTTTCTTATAAATGGGCCTGAAAAATGGGTGCTCGGTTAACCTGCTCTCGCACATTCTTGGGTGCACGCCTCCATGTCCGCCCTGACGGTTCCCTGCATATGAGTATCTTTGACAAAGCAGCTGAATGGAATTTCCCTGTTATTCGTTATCCTGGTGTTATGTCTAACGTCCCTGCACACCAGGGTGCGAGAGTGTTTGCATGCCAACTTACTAGGTTTGAGTATGTCTGCAACAATTGGTATGATTTCAATGCTCGGCCTTGGGGAAGCAATCAGCGCTGGTGGAACACACCGAGACCGAGTGGAACACACCGCTGGTGGAACACACCGAGACGTATGCATTACCACCTGCAGAGTTCCCTCTTTGGGTCTCATCTATGGCTGCCCCCTCTGTCTCTACTTCAGCCACTTCACCACCCCTAAGTTCATCACCTTTGATTTCATCCCCCCTTTTCACCGCCTTTATTTCCCCTGGATTTATCTCCATCTGTTACCCACCTTCCAATTACTCTACCACCCCTGTCTTCACCACTCCTACCTCTCCTGGTTTTGTCTCCATCCGTTACCCCTCTTCCTAATCCACAAACCACTTCGTCCACACAGAMTCCGTCATCATGTTCTGCCCCAGCAGAAAGCCTACTTCGCCGTCCAAGACGTTGACTTCGACCTTCTCCCCAACCTCAACTTAGTCCCCTTTCCTCCATCTTTGTTCTTGGATGAAGAAGAACCCGTTCATTCTCCCCCCCACGACCCTCCCCAACATCTTGTCCCCGTCTTTGCCGCCCTAAGCATCCGTACCACACCTGCGACGCCCTTCGGCTGTAGACCTTTCAGCAACACGACAATCACGAAATAGGAGGGATGATGGCAAGGGACCATCCGAGGATGAACTTGGCAAGGGGACTGTAGGAGATTCTATAGAAAGTCTTCCTGATCGACCTCCATTGAATTTGTGTGGCCTCGCTGCTACTAACATCTGCCTACAAGCCTATCGTCGGGAAGCATATACTCACTCTGATTTCTTGGCCATTGCTTTCGATCTTGATGCTAAGGAACGTGAGTTATATGTCGATAACCTGAGTTGTATCCCCCAGAGGATAGTACTTACACTCGACGTGGGGGATTCAATGTCTCTGTTTTGGAGACTACTTTCAAGTTGATAAGGCGTCGACTTGATATGTAGAGTGCCCCTTCGGGCGACGACCCGGACCACTGTTCGCACGTTTGTACCTATATTCTACATGCTCCTGGCCACTACTCCGCTCTTGTCCGTGCCTCTGGTTCTTGGGAACTATGGAATGGTGGTGCTATGGTGCAAACTATTACTGCCACCTGTGATCTTGTGCGTAATTACCCTACCTGCAATTGTTCCAGGTCATTCTCGGAGGACCTCGAATTTAGGCCGGCGGGAGTGAAACGGTTTTCACCTGTTAGCAGTAGCAAATGCAGATCCCAGGACTCGGCCCCTAGTTCTCACCTTACCTGTGTACAGTATCTGTGTCGACCCCAGGAGTTGAACCCGTGACCTGTGTCTTCGTAACAATTGGTAGGGTGTCGTAGGGTCTATAGGTTGTAGGGGTTCGATCTGTAGACCTGTCGGATAGGAGTCTTAGTGAGTTCTAGAAGTCGTAGCTGCTATAGTGGTGAAGGGTCAAGGTCGTAGCTGCTATAGTGCCGAAAGGCCAAGTCCACGATCTTCCGGAAGGTCTGGAAGTGGCCTTTCGAAGCTGCCTCATGTTTTAGTCAGAGGCAAGTGGGCAAGTGGTGAGCCCAGCTGCGTTACGTCTGCAGTGCGGCTGCATCGACTTGGCAGTGCAAACCCATGCAGTCAGCAGTACCGGTCCAGTCAGTCCCAGTCCAGTCCTGCAAGTACCATGAGGGACAGTGTGCACCATGGGCCGATGGAGAGGAACACACCAACCAGTTACAGAAGTATAAATCAAGAGGCAGTGGCCAGCCATTCATTCATTTCCTGCGTAAGCCATGCGGAAGCGCTGCCATAGCGACTTGTGCGAGGTGGTCTGCAGTGAGCCCGAGGACGAAGTGGGCGAGAAGGAGCTTAGCCATAGCGATAGGGATAGCAGCGGCCATAGCCGCCATAGCTGGTAGAAGGGAGTAGCATGTGTGTGTGTGTGTGTGTGTACAGCGTGACGCGTGTGGGATATCAGGGTGATCCGGTGTGTGAACAGCAGCGTTGTGTGAGTGACGAACAGAGATTTGTATAGGCGCTGATGCGCCATAGCCATCTGAAGTGAGATTGTATCTGAACTGTGTTCTTGGTTACCATATCTCTGAGTTTTGAGTGGGCGCTTGTCGCCAGTTTGCTGCGCAACCTGTTTGCATGCATGTGAAGTGTGAATGAGAGCGAGTCTGATTGCATATATATGGTCGGAGCCGTCACTACGCGGCCATGCTGTGCCTCTAGTGCCAGCRGCGTGTCTGGAGTGTATTTTTTGGCTGTGACAGACCTTTCTTTGTTTCGTGGGTGTTTTGCTGGCTTGTGATGGGGTGTGAACCGACAGT